GAAGTTCAGCAGAAAAAAAGTGAAAAACATGCTCAACCCTCGGCGGACCTAGCATTTTTTAGCATCGAAGGGTGAGGGAAGGGTATTGTTTTTGGTTCGGTTTGTTTCTGTGTTTTGTGTGTTTGAGTCTTGAAGTCACAAATTAGGTTTAGGGATTGCCATTGACCCAGAAGTCATAGTCATTCAGAAGTCATTTTCCAAGTAGGGTCATATAATAAAACAGTTAAATCCAATGATTTATCCACCTTGGACAAGTGATATTGATTGAGGCTGTGCCTTGATGATAATCATCACTTTTCCAAGGTGGATAAATCATGTGATTCACCGATAACTGAAGTCAATAATTGTATATTGTTTACCTACAATATCCAGGAGGATAATAATGCACAGCTCAGCAAGTGTAAGCAAGTGAACAGCAAGTGAACTCGAGGTCAAACAGTGAAGCCATTTTTGTCGGCTTCATTATTCAGCTTTCAGATCCGATTCATCGCAAGCCTTCATCCAGAGCCACAGTTTGAATAGTGCAGAGCTACCCAAATCTGGCCCTGGTTATCTCTTCTTCCAGGCAGTGAAGTGAACAATTGTTGCCACTGATTGGCCAGACACCAGAATCTCAGGTGAAGGCAGGGTGGAAAACCAGCAGTCCTCGGCCTTCGAGGACCGTGATTTGGGAAGCCCTCCAGTAGAGCTTCAAACTGACTTTGTTCCAGGGCTCTGAGGAGGAAAGGGTTAAAGAAAATCTAGACCTCTCTCGCTCCTCTGTCTGTCAGTGTCAAACACTCGTTTTGAACACTCATTTTGCTCATTACTACCCCTCCATTTCCAAAAAAGAGAAACCAACAGAGGAAAGCATTACATAATTTGTCTTTGCAGTTTTCAAACTAATAAAGATCAAGAATGTTTTGCAAATCACCGCTTTTTTAATGGCATATTCCATATCATCCCTACTTTTTACTGGTTGGGTCATGTTAAAGCACTGGATGTGCTGTCTGGTCTGTTCTGAAATTCGGACTCTGACAGTGCCAGCTGTACCAGGGCCCCATGGGACGTAAACACCTCCAGCATTTCGTGGAGATGGAGGAAATTCTTTTGCACTACAGTGTGTGTATTTGATCGTGCACTGTGCCCGGGACCCAAAAGTGGACCCGTTACGTTTCGACGAAAGTGACCTCTATCTTGCAGCAATGTGAGCATATTTTGAACTCCGCAGTCGGAGATGAAGTGCTGCTTGACATCACAGGCTTGTCTGCACTCTCTTGAGTTGACATCGGAAATTGTCAGATCAATGCTGCTGATCTAAAAACATAATTGAATACCCACTCCTCCTTCATTGGAGGGAATATGGGGAAAGCATTGTTATTGAAAAAATAAGAGGCTTATGATGGAGTGGGACTGCAGAGGATGTACTTATAAAATAAATGCCGGAGCACTGTTGGTGTGATACTGCTTGGATAGCTCTAATACACTGTGTGATGCAGTGCCGCAGAAGTCAATTCAGGCTTAATCAATCTGCCCCCCTTCCTGCATCTTCCTGCTACAGAATTACCTCAGCTTAATGTGTCACTGTAACACTGATGCTACGATTCGGATATAGGGGTATAGGTGTAGAATAAAGAAATCTTGCAGTTGTTTTTGTGACGCGTAACACTCAGCGCGTTGTCAATCATAAACCGTAAGCCACTTTATATTTTTGGAAAAAGTAAGTCAAAGGTGGTCACACAGAATAACGCTGCATACATTCGCTGTGATCTTTCCACCTTTTATGTGCTGAGTAAACCCAAACCTTGCCGGGATAATGAACAGAAACATTTGCAGTTACACATATCCACGCATTTGTTTGTCCACCTTTATTCAGGTTTTAATTTGTCGCCTGGCTGTATAGTTAATGAGCTGTTTAATGACTGGGTGGTTAAATATGCAGATTTTATCATAAGTGAAATGACCTCTCTGTCCACCTGCCTCTGAACACAGGTTTGTGTAATTCAGCGGATAGCTGGATGATCGTTCCCAACATCAAACAGAATCACTACACAGTGCACGGTCTGCAGAGCGGCACCAAGTACATCTTCATAGTGAAGGCCATCAACCAAGACCAACAGTGAGTGCATTTCTCATCAAGCCAGGCGCTCAAGACCAACAGGTTTACAGTGCCTTTCTCATCAAACCAGGCCTCTCTCCATACTGTCCTGATTTACAGAACCCTTTCACCTCAAACCAGGCTTCTCTCCACACTGTCCTGGTTTACAGAACCTCATGTTCTCAAGCCAGGCTTCTCTCCACACTGTCCTGGTTTACAGAACCTCATGTCCTCAAACCAGGCTTCGCTCCATACGGTCCTGATTTACAGAACCTCATGTCCTCAAGCCAGGCTTCTCTCCACACTGTCCTGGTTTACAGAACCCTTTCACCTCAAACCAGGCTTCTCTCCACACTGTCCTGGTTTATAGAACCTCATGTCCTCAAGCCAGGCTTCTCTCCATACTGTCCTGGTTTACAGAACCCTTTCACCTCAAACCAGGCTTCTCTCCATACTGTCCTGGTTTACAGAACCCTTTTACCTCAAACCAGGCTTCTCTCCATACTGTCCTGGTTTACAGAAGCTGTGCACACTGAACCCCTCGAGTTCTGTTAGAATCTGCTCTATGGCCTCATTGTCTGGGGTCCCAGAGGCCCCAACACTGTGTATGTAATCATAATAATTCTGGTCCTGGAATTTCCCTGCAAATGGTTTTCCTCATGCTTCTTATATGAAAACTCAGGAGACTGAAAATAATTGAAGATTTGCCGTCCCTTGTGCATTTCAAAACGTGCCGAAATGAGCACATGGGCATCAATCACTATTATTGTACTAAATAATATTAATTCATTTCAATGGAAATTGCTCAGTGGCACACAGCACATTTTACGGGGCATTTTCTTTACACGTGCGGAGATCTAATGGGCCGTAGCCAAGCATCGGTATCTCATATAGTACCACGTGTATTTACTGCATACACAAGGAAGGTGCGTCTTTTCTTCAAGTTCCCATACGAACATGATTGCTGACAAGAAATACAGGAGGGGGTATTTCAATGAACGGCGTCGGCGAATACCAAACATCATTGGTTGTATTGAAGGCAGCCTTATTGCAAGACAGACCGTCCCAAAATGAAGACATTTTAATTTTTACGCAAGATGTACCATGCGATTAATGGACAAGGGATTAGCGATCATGAGCTCAAATTCATCAATTTTGTCGCCAAATGTTTTGGCATCACATAAGCGACCATGACCCCAACTGTCCTTGGACTGAACCAAGTTGTGCAGGCCTGTTGCAGGCATACTATCTGCATCACTTCAATGAACACATTCAATGGGCATGATGTGCCAATACATTCTCATCCTGACTCGTCATACAGTGACGATACCTGACCAAGAATAGATATACGACTCAAAAGGGAGCTTTATTTGATGCGTAGGGTTAGGATTCGCATTAAAGGCTAGGAGTTTGGGGGTGGAGCTCTTTTTAAACTGGCGTCAAACAAGGACACCAAAAGTGTCAGGTAACGTCAATACATGACTTGTGGGGATGAGACTGGGCTTGAAAATTGTAGGAGGACGACGCCACGCGCGAACTGTGACTTCGCTAAAAGTGACGCTCTTGCGGATAGTTGGCGAAGACTTTGCTAAAGTCGCTTATTCACAATCGCTTTGCTAAGCCCTCGCATAGCTAATTTTATTCAAGGTCTTTTTAAATCCAGTCCCAGGTTAGACTTTAACACCGTTAAATTTGAGTTGAAGGGAAATTTCAGTAGAATGTTAGCAAAAAAAGTGTTCCACTCAGAAAACAGTTCCTTTAATTGAAAAACAAACTCCATTGAGGAAGATTTCTCACATTTTCTTATGAAGAGTAAAGTTGCTTCATGCATAGCTGCAGGATGACATGTTTAATATCAGTATTAACTGAATACAAGCAAGTCATCTAGCTAGATAGCTAGCTATTCAAAAGCAGGCATAGCTTTGTGCATTCTGCACTAAAGGCTATTAGTCACTTGCTATCGAGTCACTATATTACAAAGCTATCATTCATATCATGAGGATTGCTCATTTTACAGACTTTGATTAAGTCAGAGACGGGGGGAAAGGAGTCCCCACGGCTTCACTTGCAGTCACACACATGCAGATTACGCGCTACTATGCTGAATACGATGATTAATAACAACTGTTGAGAACACGGACAAGGTAAAGGTCCCATTGGTGTTCACATAATCTGCATAAAAATACAACTTTTGTCATTACCAAGCACAACACTCAGTCCTGTATCTGCATCCACATCAAGGAGTGGGATAATTAGTAACACATAGTATCAATTAATTCTCAGAGATAATATTTGTCAATACAATTCAAACAAGAGGAAATGTTCTTACTGTCAGTAATAAACATAGCTGAGAGTTCTACTTTCGATTTTCGATGATGTGATTTCACCAAACGTTTACATGATGTCTCATGATCATTCATGATTTTTTTCAGACCACATTTCTTCCTCTAAGATGATGGTTCACCAATATCCTTCCAGTTTTCAATCATGCATTGAACAGTTCTTGACGCAATTTTGGTAGTTTCAGCAATCGCCTTAGTAGGTTTCTTTGCTTGATGCAGGCCTCTAGTATGACCCTTCTGAAACAGAGTAACATCTTCTCCATGAATATCGGATATGTCTTCCAGCATGGTTCTTTCAGAAATGAGAAGCTACTGACTGCATCAGTTAGGGTTAAATAACTTGTTGCCAGCTGAAAAATATTAATCACTGCAGTTATTATCCAATAGAAGCCTCTTACCATTTTGCTTATTAAATTCCAGGTGGTGCTTTTTTGGACAGGCAGCGTAATATTAACATGTGTGGCAATGGACATACCGACAAGCACATTCACAGCCGTAAGTGGACGTTATAGCCAATAATTTCTTGGCATCTGTGGCATATGAGTTGGCATTGCCCAGTTATCCAGGGGAAGTAAAATCCATGCCCCGTGTGAGGATTAAACTCACAACCTTCAGACTTTGAGATTGACGCGCTACCTACTGCGCTAACAAGGCTAAACTTGCTTTTCCCACTTGCATAATCCACCATCATCCAAACTAAAACAGGCGTGAAATGCTCAAATCCCCTGCCATGTAATGGCCGATATTTGGCCTGGAAATAAAACGGGAGGGACGAACTAGTGGACTAAAGGATGGACCAAAGTATGAAATGGCTCATCTGCATTATAAGATGTATCCACATATGAAATCTCCTTGAGAAATGTTGAACAGTATAGGAGTTCTGGTATGGGAAAAGAGCATTATGGATGGCCAGATGGAAAGCGGATGGACAACTCCCATTCCTATATTCCCATCCACATTAAGGAGTAGGATAATTACTAACACATGGTACCAATTAATAACCAAGGATAATATTTGTTAATAGAATTCAAACATGTGGAAATGTTCTTCATTTTACTTATCAGTTTAATATTTCTTATATGCATTTATGTTCCTCTTTTCTGACCAACCGTTGGAGACATAAAAAATTGCTTTACAGAGATGAGGGTTAAACTCAGTGGCGGATCCGAGGGGGGGCGCACAGGGGCGCGCGCCCCCCCTTTTTCGTAGAGAAGTGAAAATAACAAGCGCATACTATGCTTTAAATGAGCCCACATCAAATACGTACACCTGCATATTTGCAGCAGTCATCATTTCTGATAATCTTCTAGTCTATAATCATGGCAATTAAGCAGTCCTCACGGTTTATATACCACCTTTAATGGTTAAACTTCACTATTCCGGTTGTTTTGCATCATGGCAAATTTATTTGGATCCAATTGTATATATTTGCTTTATGCGATAGGAATAACCGAGAAACTCTTTTCTTTCAAATAAAAAATGATAAATGGACTTAAGCTATGTACAATTTATTTAATCTTGTTGTTTTCGTCCTAGAGTTTAAGAAGGCAGACTTGCTGGGAAATTTGTTCGACCAATGGCCTTGCTTGTCCCCTGTTGCAGTAACAGTCTAAAAACGCGTTTCAGCGACTACAACTTCAGACGAAAATGTCAGAAAGCAATGGAAAGGCGGAAAAGCTTAGTGAATAAAGTAAACGGACATTTGAGACTCAGCCTTTCAAATGCAAAAAAAATGACCAGCTGTTTGGCCATGATAATCCTCGTAGCAAGCAGTTTTCGTTTGCAGGGGGACATGGAAGTGGTAAGACTGACGTTAAATTAATAGGCTATCGCAAGTATGCGTTCAGTTAAACTTCGTTTGAGCTTACAAAAGGACCCCACTGATGGACCAGTTGTTCATAGCCTACTATTTGATGTATATTGATTCGTTGTTTTAAGGTGCCAAGTAAAATTTGTCCTGGAATACTGGAAGACTTTCCAAATTTTCCATTCCAAAACCCCGACTTGACGTTGAGAATCACCCGTCATTAAACTTGTAACCAGTGAGTACTGCGGTTCTGAAGCTATTGAGCTATTCTATGCCCTTTAGAGTCTGTAGGATATGTAACATTATTTTAAAAAGGTTATGTATGAGTCAATCCAAATAGTTCATTGGTCTTATTGAAAAATTCTAAATGGCCCTAAAGTCACATTTCTTTTTCACATTCATTCATGTAAATATAATAATAATAATAATAATATTTCCGCAAAAAAATATTTTATATGTTGACAATGTTATGTTTTAATATAGGACAGCATCATTGTATTAAATTTATATCAGGCCATCTTTAGGATAAATAGGATCTTTAATATAAATAAGATAGTTTGTTTTTGGACATTACCCACCTAACCACTGCCTCCAGATTATTAAATTCACTCACATGTGCAGAAATTCAACTTAATGGTGACTCGGATTATGTGTATGACAACACTTTCAACTCTCACAACACTTGGGAGTGTTTTGGAAGCATGAAAGCCTCATCTTTTAGAATCATTTTGAAAAAAGGCAGTCACAGCATTGTAATAACTTTTTACAAGTTGTTGAGGGAGGTATCTTTTACTAAACCTGGTCTAGGGACTTGGGGGGGAGGGCGGACTTGGTGATCTGTTAACATCTGCTAAAATCACAGATGCATATAGCCACTGGGTTTGCATGTTATATACACACTACAATTATTTTGTTGGAGGCTATTTGGTATAATATAAACTCAAAAACTAATAATATCAATGTTTTGTGGGAAATATGGTCAAACCCTTTCACTGCTAGTGGTGATTTTGTCAACATTTCTGAAACATCAAAACCTTTGAAAATCGCTCGAACCATAGCATATTGGTATTCACTGGAAAGCTCCCATCAAGCACTGTCCAATGAATACCAACACTGTAGGGTTTGGACGATTTTGAAAGATTTTCTCCTCTTTGAAATTTTGACCAAGTCACCAACAGCAGTGAAAGGGTTAAGGTCACGAACTTTGACAGTAAAGTGAAAGTCTTAGGTAGAGGTAAAAGTTGTCAGTTAATGTACAACTGTGTTATAAAGGCGCTTTGAAAGTTTTTTTAGCTTAATTTTTGGAACCTTGTGAGGAAATTCATTGAACAGATAGGCCAGATTTTTCTCCCAAGATACCAGGAAAACGTGTTTTCAGCACACTAATTTTTCAAATTTTTCTGGGGTAGGGTCCCCAGACCCCCTCCTTACTGCGCCCCCCCCTTTCAGCAATTCCTGGATCCGCCCCTGAAACTTGCCTCAATTGCCACAGTGTTGCACACACCTAAATAATGATCATTTATACAGCGACGAAGAATTCTGTGTATGCTACGCTGCTTGTGAATAAATGGCCGTGGGGAGGCTCAAAGGGTTGATCTGCTTTTACTGTCCATTGCAGATTATGTTTCTGACATTTTTATTGTCAATCTCAGGCCAGCCGTTTAAGCTGGACCCAAAGACAGCCCACAGGAAGCTGAAGTTGTCGCACGACAATCTGACAGTGGAGCGCGATGAGACTTCCTCCAAAAAAAGCCACTCGCAAGACCGCTTCACCAGCCAGGGGAACTACGGCATCATGGGAAACGTGTACATCGACAGCGGTCGCCACTACTGGGAGGCTCTGATTGGAGGAAGCACTTGGTATGAGAAATAGGACCACCAATCTTAGCAAGGCTGAAGCCGGGCAGAGCTGTTAGCATGCTTGGTATTTTCCTAAGCGGCAATTCTGGTAGCAATAGTCAACTCCATGCTGGTCACCATACAAAAGGAACAGCATAACTTAGTGGTTATTGGTGGTATTACACCTAGAGGGTGTGCTTTCATTTTCATGTAATGGCCACCGTGGAGTTGTGCATTGCGCTTTTACCCTGGTTACCACGACTGTATGCTTATTCCAAGAAATAATTTTTGCTTGTTCTTCCCAAAATTGCATTCACATACAGGCCATTTTCTTCTGGCATATTTTGGTAAATGTTGCTTTTTTCAGCAAAAAACTATGGTTACTACATTTAAGAGCATAGTCGCTATAGGCCAAAATTTTCTTTAGCCCCCCAAAATACTGAGTTTTTAGTCATAATTATAATTATTTTGATAATTATAATAATTATTTTTAGTTTAAATCTTCAATATTCTGGTGAAAGCATGTCAGATTACTCCTCCATAGTAAAGGCTTAGCCCCTGAATCCATAAGTCTCTAGTGATGCCCCTGAAGGCTGTTAGTTCTATTTCGTTTTGTTGCCAGGCAGGAGCTGTGGCTCTTAGCTCCACAGCGTCATTGTATCACTCAGACATTCAAGGTCACATTGTGCCTTCTCCCGATTTCCATTACATCTGATGTTTGCAGCTGACTGTTAAATTTAGGCAAAATTCAAACGATGCTATTTTGACTAACAATCCTGGACATACTTCATAGTTGTCCAGCAAACAGCCCACCCTTGAACATCTTCCAGTCAATCACAATCGATTATATAACGGAACTGTGATAAAATGCATATTATATGACATAAGCACTTGTTCTCTTCTGATTGGTCGAGTCGAGCTCTGCTGGTCACTGTAAACAGTGATGTTCACTGCGTGAAAGTGCGCGAGAGGTGAATATAACAATCCGACGACCAGGATCTAAAAGTAGATTAGGCTTCCCCGCAGGAGCTCCTGACGCCGTCCGAAATTCCTGTCACTTCGTCCCAGTGAGGAGCTTTATGTTAGTTATCGCCCTTATTTTATATTTTCAAGTAGGGTCATATAATTAAACAGTTATTGACTTCAGTTATCGGTGAAACCAATGATCTATCCACCTTGGACAAGTGACATTCACCTCGGCTGCGCCTTGGTGAATATCACTTGTCCAAGGTAGATAAATCATTGGATTCACCTCAACTGAAGTCAATTATTATATTATATTACGTATATGGCTCATAATGCTTAATATCGCTGTCGACGTCATTGTTCATTTGCAGGTATGCGGTGGGCGTGGCCTACAAGTCGGCGCCGAGGCACGAGTGGGTGGGGAAGAATTCGGCCTCCTGGGTGCTGAGCCGCTGTAACAGCACCTGGGTGGCGCGTCACAACAGCAGGGAGGAGCCCGTGGAACCATCGCCCCACCTGCGCCGCGTGGGCGTCCTGCTGGACTACGACGGCGGCTCCCTGGCCTTCTATGACGCCGTGGCCTCTCAGCTCCTCTACACCTTCGACGTCGCCTTCACCCAACCCATCTGCCCTGTGTTCAACGTGTGGAACAGGTGCCTGACCGTCCTTACCGGGCTACCAATCCCTGACCACCTGGACTCCGCCGTGCTGCAGGATTAGGGTCAATCACTTAGCGGCTGACGGAAGGACAAAGGCCCAGGGAGACACAAAATGGCCGCCTCCCACTTGGTGCCCGATATGACGTTGCGTCAGGTTTGCTGTATGAAAATGGAGAAAAAAGCCATTGCTTTATACAATTTATGTAACGCAATGTGAAATGAGTAGTCATTAATTATTTATGAAAACTTTGATTTCAGAATATTGTAGTTTTTTTCATTGTAATGTTTTGCACATATTATTGTATACTAATATATTTATGGTTTGGCAATTTTGGGGAGATTGTGCGTTGAAGTTAAAAATTTTGGGGCTTGTATAATCCAAA